GTCATAGTTTAAAAATGAAATTGGAATTTAAAATTTAAGGACCAATTTAAAATGAGAATTATACTTTGAGGACATGTAATACAAAATATACTAAAAAGAATAAAATCAGAATGGAAGGATATTTATATCTAAATTAAAAGAAAACTAAGTAAAAAGACAAAAAAAATAAGAACAAGAGAACGACGACACTTGAAAATCAGAATGGAAGGATATTTTTGTTCTATTTTGATACCTAAATTTTATTTTTTTCAAAATCATACCTAACATTTAGTTTATGTTTCAATTTAACACCCCGCCATTAAATAATTAACATAATTATTGACGTTACATTTTTATCATTTTGAATGATGATATGATATTATCTTACGATGGCACGTCAACATCACCATTAAAATTTTACTTTTTAATAAATTATGAAAGGGTGGAAAAGATTATTCAAATTATCTCTTAAGATTTTATATCAATAATGCGAATTTAAAAAAAAGTTAATAATATTTTGGAATGTGAAATACACAATTTCGAGAGGTATAAAATTAAAGTATCAAAGTAAAAATGTAAAATTTTTAGCTTGAGACCACCTCGACTCGTCTCTTTCCGTCCCTAATTACAATAATTATTTTTTATGATAGAGTAGATTTAGATCCGAACCACTTAATTTGCTGTGAGTAATGAAATCCATGTGTTTAGCCATGTCCGGCGTCAAGTGATTTTCCCAGTCTCTGATTCTTCCTTCGCGAAGAAGAGATTATTCTTCATCTCCCATGGGCCGTTCTTCCCAACCTTTCCATCCTTGTTCACTTCCAGATTCCTTAAATTCTCGAAGCTACACATTTCCACGATCTTCTCAACCATTCCTTTCTTCTCTTCCTCTAGTGTGAATCCATAGCCCATGAACTCAGCTAATTTCTTGGTGTAAAAACATGCATCTTCCATCATCTCCTCGTATTTCAAGAACAAGATTCTGTCCGGCTGTTCCAAACTTGCATTCCAATACCCTAAAACATGATCCCAATACGGTCCGTAGAATGATTCTCCATTGCAGAAAAGCTCGAATGCCTTGTCAAATGGACTGGTTCCATGTTTCTCGACGTTGCGAGTTTTGCCAGGAAGTGATACTTGAAACAAAGGTATCCTTTGGGTCTCTACAAACGTAGACGATTCTACAACCGGACACGGATTCCGGAAGAGAAGAGAAGGGGAGATGGGTGGCTATTAAAGGGTTGTTGGGATCACGGTTGGTTACGGAGATCTCCAAAAGGGGGAGACATCCTGTGGCAACTTGGAATGAAAAGGGTTTGCGGCGGTGGAACCGTCGTCGACGACGGTGGTTCTCGAGACGATGGCGAAAGAAAGGGCCTTCAGCCAGGTTGTGCCGGTTTTCGGAGCGCTACAAAGAAAGACGTCGAAGATTGAGCTTGGAATTGTCGTTGAGCTGACAAGGTACGCGTCACTACCGCCATGTCTGGGTACCAAAAACCTTGGTACTCAACGAGATCGTGGTTGAATAGATTCAAACCTGCTCGTTTCTCAAGGGTTGACAAAATGTCTTCATCGTTACAGATTTGATTTCTCTTGGACTCCATGAAAGGAAAGATAATGAACTTTGGAAAGGAAAAGCAAGTCACCTTGTGGACGTAAATGCTGAAGAGAGGGGCATGGTTTTGTAGGTAAACCAGAGTAGATGTAACTTAACTATTTATTGAATCGTTACGATATGAGTATTAAATTTAAAAATATAATTAAATTTTACAATTAATTATAACGTTTTAATGATCGATTTATAATATTTAATATATTTTTATTAAAAATAGTTAATGTATCACATGTCCTCAAAGTATGTTCCTATTTTTAAATTGGACAAATTTTGTAATTCATCCCTAAACTATGATCATCATTCTAAATTAGTCCTCAAACTTTGAACATTCCATTTTATCTCAAACTATATGTATATACTAATCACATCCCTTGTTAATAAATTTGTTAGGTCAAGTTATTTTATTATATGTTTAAAAGATAAATTTGAGGTTAAACTTCAGTTCAACCTAATTACATATTTGGATGAGTTTGGGGATGAAATTTGAATATTCAAAAGTTTGTGGGCCAATTTGGAAATAGAGTCATAGTTAGGGATGGAATTAGGAGGTTCAAAAGTTTAAAGACTAATTTAAAATGAGTCATAATATGAGGATAAAATTAGAATATTCAAAAATTTAAGAACCAATTTTAAAATAAGAGTTATAGTATGGGGACATATGATACAATTAATTCTTTTTAAAAGTTTAATAATCAATACGAACATTTTAACATATTTAAGTGACCTCATATATACTTTACTCATTTTTATTATTGTTTTTTTTTAAAATAAAAATAAAATAAAATGAGTAAAGTATATATGAGGTCACTTAAATATGTTAAAATGTTCGTATTGATTATTAAACTTTTAAAAAGAATTAATTGTATCATATGTCCCCATACTATAACTCTTATTTTAAAATTGGTTCTTAAATTTTTGAATATTCTAATTTTATCCTCATATTATGACTCTCATTTTAAATTAGTCTTTAAACTTTTGAACCTCCTAATTCCATCCCTAAACTATGACTCTATTTCCAATTGGCCCACAAACTTTTGAATATTCAAATTTATCCCCAAACTCATCCAAATATGTAATTAGGTTGAACTGAAGTTTAACCTCAAATTTATTCTTTTAACATATAATAAAATAACTTGACCTAACAAATTTATTAACAAGGGATGTGATTAGTATATACATATAGTTGAGATAAAATTGGAATGTTCAAAAGTTTGAGGACTAATTTAGAATGATGATCATAGTTTAGGGATGAATTACAAAATTTAATGTCCAATTTAAAAATAGGAACATACTTTGAGGACATGTGATACAATTAACTATTTTTAATAAAAATATATTTAAAATATTATAAATCGATCATTAAAACGTTATAATTAATTGTAAAAATTTAATTATATTTTAAATTAATACTCATATCGTAACGATTCAATAAATAGTTAGTTACATCTACTCTGGTTTACCTACAAAACCATGCCCCTCTCTTCAGCATTTACGTCCACAAGGTGACTTGCTTTTCCTTTCCAAGTTCATTATCTTTCCTTTCATGGAGTCCAAGAGAAATCAAATCTGTAACGATGAAGACATTTTGTCAACCCTTGAGAAACGAGCAGGTTTGAATCTATTCAACCACGATCTCGTTGAGTACCAAGGTTTTTGGTACCCAGACATGGCGGTAGTGACGCGTACCTTGTCAGCTCAACGACAATTCCAAGCTCAATCTTCCGCCGTCTTTCTTTGTAGCGCCCGAAAACCGGCACAACCTGGCTGAAGGCCCTTTCTTTCGCCATCGTCTCGAGAACCACCGTCGTCGACGACGGTTCCACCGCCGCAACCCTTTTCATTCCAAGTTGCCCATGGATGTCCCCCTTTGGAGATCTCCGTAACCAACCGTGATCCCAACAACCCTTTAATAGCCACCCATCTCCCTTCTCTTCTCTTCCGGAATCCGTGTCCGGTTGTAGAATCGTCTACGTTTGTAGAGACCCAAAGGATACCTTTGTTTCAATGTATCACTTCCTGGCAAAACTCGCACGTCGAGAAACATGGAACCAGTCCATTTGGACAAGGCATTCGAGCTTTTCTGCAATGGAGAATCATTCTACGGACCGTATTGGGATCATGTTTTAGGGTATTGGAATGCAAGTTTGGAACAGCCGGACAGAATCTTGTTCTTGAAATACGAGGAGATGATGGAAGATGCATGTTTTTACACCAAGAAATTAGCTGAGTTCATGGGCTATGGATTCACACTAAGGAAGAGAAGAAAGGAATGGTTGAGAAGATCGTGGAAATGTGTAGCTTCGAGATTAAGGAATCTGGAAGTGAACAAGGATGGAAAGGTTGGGAAGAACGGCCCATGGGAGATGAAGAATAATCTCTTCTTTCGCGAAGGAAGAATCAGAGACTGGGAAAATCACTTGACGCCGGACATGGCTAAACACATGGATTTCATTACTCACAGCAAATTAAGTGGTTCGGATCTAAATCTACTCTATCATAAAAAATAATTATTGTAATTAGGGACGGAAGAGAGAGTCGAGGTGGTCTCAAGCTAAAATTTTACATTTTTACTTTGATACTTTAATTTATACCTCTCGAAATTGTGTATTTTCACATTCCAAAATATTTATTAACTTTTTTTTAAATTCGCATTATTGAATAAAATCTTAAGAGATAATTTGAATAATCTTTTCCACCCTTTCATAATTTATTAAAAAAAAAATTTAATGGTGATGTTGACGTGCCATCGTAAGATAATATCATATCATCATCAAAATGATAAAATGTAACGTCAATAATTATGTAATTATTAATGGCGGGGTGTTAAATGAAACATAAACTAAATGTTAGGTATGATTTTGAAAAAAATAAAATTTAGGTATCAAAATAGAACAAAATATCCTTCCATTTGATTTCAAGTGTCGTCGTTCTCTTGTTCTTATTTTTTGTCTTTTTAATTAGTTTTCTTTTAATTTAGATATAAATATCCTTCCATTCTGATTTTATTCTTTTTAGTATATTTGTATTACATGTCCTCAAAGTATAATTCTCATTTTAAATTGGTCCTTAAATTTTTAAATTCCAATTTCATTTTTTAAACTATGACTATCCTTCTAAATTAGTTCTCAACTTTGAACATTTCAACTTTATCCCCAAACTATAACCTTTATTCTAAATTAGTCCATAAACTTTTTGAACATTCAATTTCATCCCAAACTATATGTATACTAATCACATCCTTGTTAATAAAATTGTTAGATCCAGTATTTTATGTATGTTTGAAAAATAAAATAAAATTTAGGTTAAAACTATGGTGAAACTAATTACATATTTGGATGAATTTGGGGATACCATTAGAATATTCAAAAGTTTGGGGACCATTTAGAAAGAGAGACATAGTTTAGGGATGAAATTAGAATGTTCAAAAAGTTTAGGGACTAATTTAAATGAGAATCATAGTTGGGGATGAAAATAGAATATCCAAAAGTTTAAAGATCAATTTAAATAAGTTATAGTTATAGACATATGATGCAATTAACTCGCATATTCTTGAAGCGTTAGTTTTATCTGATTTATGGCACAATTGTTCATCTATTTTATGGTACGATTTTGTTTATCGTAATGACAGATTGATGTTATTTATTGCATTCAACAACACATCTTCTGCTTAAGAAATGTTTTGTCTTAGTTTAAATGGAGACAAAGAATATTGATAGCTACCAAGTTTTTGTGAAAAATAAATATACATTCAATGAAAAATTTTGATTTTATTTTTGTTTAAGTTTTTTAGATTTTCATATTAAGATTATATTACTTTAACTGTACCTTATTTTTTGTGTAACAAAATCTAATTTTATTTAGTTTATAAATCTTTCAATAGGTAAGTTAATCAATATTTATCCTTTTTATAGGTAAGTCGGACCAACTAGCTTGTATATCCCCCACGATATCAAAAGAATTTTGCTAATCCTCCAGATTATGATGAGATTGATGACATCCAAATCTTTTTTTAAACCTTTTATTATATCCAACTCAAATAATCACATATATCCAATTAAGGAAAGAGACCAAGTTCTTTTACATGTAAATCATAATATTCATTCAACAATATTTATATTCGAATTATAAATTTATAATTAAATAGTCTCGAATAATTACAAGATAGTATACATTTAGATTCTATGACAACCGCATATATATCCTACAAATTCAATTGCTCGAAACTATAGAGAATCGCCTCCTCCTACCGATGGTCAAAATTTTCTCTTTTCCATGTATGGAAGGATCATCATAGCCTTTGTAACGTTGTTCATATGAAGAAAAATGACAAAACGTTTATGTTTACAAATTGGAAGTTTATGGTTTCTGAGTTTGAATTATGGTTTTATTGATATTAATGTTCTGAGCTGTCCATTTTTCTTAACCTTTTTGCTTTTTCTCTTTCCTTTAAACATCCATTGGCTCAATTTTGTATGTTGCTCTTTCACATCTCTCTCTATTTGTTTTTTAATGTTCATTCATGTTTCTTTGATTAATGACTTGTTTTCATATAATTGCAGAAGAAATGCAGAAAACCTGCTGGTTTTTCCTTTGCTGATTCAAGGTAGTGTTCTTTTCATCATGTAGGACAAGCTGTTTGATTAATATCCTAGAGAACATTACATTTAGTCCACATGCATTTGCTGAATCCTTGAGTGTTATTTGTAAACTGCAGAGATTTGCAGAATTTTCATGTGCTGTGTTTTGTTGTTTGTCATCTATGTGTCTTTCTCTCCATTGGGTTCTCTTTGAAGTTTTGTGTTAGGGAGATCAGTTTTCTAATTCAGCTACTTTCCCCCATTTTCATTCATATGATGTGCCTTTTCTTTTTGGTTCATGATTGTCGATCCTTTATCTTTGATTCTTGTGTAAAGCAACTTGTAATCTCCTAGCAATTGGTTTAGGGCCTAACTTGAGTATAGAAACCACGGGCGATCCTCGATTTAATCCGACGAGAGAGATAACACTCATTTCGACCATGATTATTTGATTGCTGATACAATATATATGCCGAGAATGTGGAGTACAAGGAACTGAATTCCCTCTTTCTCATGGTGGCTTATTGGATTTCAGGCAACTGTGGACGTTTAAGTGAACAATTTGTTTTGGCTAAGAATTAGTACCAGCAGAAGAAAATTCCTGCATCCTTTTACCTTGTTTGATTTCCGGTAGACTCGACGTAGAACCAATACGAGTTCTTGAATACTCGAGTAATCATTACAGCAGTGGAGATCCTCGATGATGGATTGATGATGATTTCTTCATGCTGATACACTCTTGGCTCTGAAATCTCTACAGGGATGGAACATATAATGTAGAGACCAATACAGAAGTTAACAGCCAAAGGGGGATGGGGAGCAGAGAACCATGGAGTTAACAGTTCATGGCTTGGAAGAATCCGATACGAGGGGCATCGATACTGCTTCAAGTCCTAGTGAAGCAGGAACAAAGGAAGTAAACTTAGTTCATGATACGAGTGAGACCTTTCCTGCAGCTGATGCGCCGGAGCTGGTTGTTTTATTCAAGAGAGTGATTATCAGTCAATCAAGGATATCTTCATTGACAGGGGAGTTCCTTCATGGAGTCGATTGAAGTATAGTGAAAAACCTGGAAAATCTCTAGGGATAATGTCCTCTCTTTCCAATGATTGAACAGGATTTTCAGAAATATGTAAGGAAAAGACATGCTCTCGAGGACTTATTGAAGGATCGCGAAGAAGATTCCGATGAAAGAGATGATCACTTGCATGATAAGTCCATCATAAATATGGCATCCGGGACGCGGCACGTGAAAGAGGTAAGAAGCTACATGCTCCCATGATTGATATTTCAATCATTCTTTTGAAGTGTTCCTCACATAAAAAATTCAGGATTGATTCATTGAACGCATATGCAGTTCCAAATAGGAGACTCAGTTACATTGAAGCCAATGGAACCATCTGTGACTAAAACAACTGACGACCGAGGAGTGGAAGCCGAGAGTAGAAACACTTTCACCTTTCTGATCCATCTTTAAATCCCACGAGTAGCCTTGAGGATTTATGCAAGGTTCAAGATGTCAACAGCCTCATAAAATGAGGGCTTATCAAGGACCGAGGATAGGATGTCAAGAAGCCTAACAAATTCTGGACAAAGCATCGCCAACGAAATTACTCATGGCGATTGTGATCCGTTTGCAAAAAGTCCTCTTTCAGGACCAATACCATGTTCAGGCAGTGTTTCTCTGCGATCAAGTAGTAGCACTACCAGCTCATTCGTTTGCTTTCCCCATGTAACTTGTTCCCTCTCCATGAATTCTTATTGTGCTTTTCTCAGTTATCCTGAAAAAAAAAAACATCAACAGATCATTGTTTGGTTTTATGGAACAGATTGCCATCTGAATGGAGTGGCAGTCCAGTAAGAATGGCAGAAGCTGACCCGAGACGGCCAAGGAAGCACCAGAGTTGGAGAACCTGTTTTCTCTGCTGTATGTGAACCTCCCCTTGCCTTTTGCACAAACAGTAACTGTAATTCCTCTTATTTGATTCGATTTTCATGTGTATACTATGCAGGATTCGGAAAACATGCTTTTCAACAATGGTGTGATACTAAATTATAAATCTATCAATGATGCTTTTCAATTGTCATACAATGTGTTCTTTTACCTTCCAACAAACAAGAAAAAGATTGTCTTTTGTCTCTTTATACCGTCAATGACACACAAAAGTTCAATTTTATACAAATCATCTGTTGTTCCATAATTGCAATATGACAAGTTTTACATGAGAATCAGTAATGTCCTTGATTTTTGTCAAGGGATTGATGACCTGGTTTCAGCCGAGTGACGGATATGTAGATAGTAGGAGAATCATACTCTGTAATACTCATGTCCGAATACGTATCATGGACACATGTACTAGGTAATCAGGTTTTCATCAATGGTGCTTTTGAGTCCATAGGTGGTTAATGAAACCGGCTGTCTTGCTTGACTACGACGGACAGAGACCTTCATAGCTAAGGCTGGAAGTCTCTTGCTGCTTACGGCATTACATATTCCAGAGCTGCTTCCTTTCATTTTCATGTCATAACCATGCTTTCTTCTCACATGTCCAGCTAAGATGTGGTCATTTTTGTCGCCTTTGATAAGCAAATCAACGCTGGCTCTTCACTACCAGACCTTTGTACCCATTGCCTTCTCATTTACGGATGGCAATCCGAAAGGATGATTTCGCAATTAAAAATAACGTTTAGATTTTCCAAAAACAAAATTCTATATTTTCCCTATAAATTTATATATATAATATAGAAAGTTCCATAAATTTATAAAAAATATATATAATTCTTGTAAAATATTTTCAAACAAATTAAGTAATATAATAATTAAATTTTGAGTTAATTAAAGTTTTATTAGGCTTAAACATTAAACAATTAAATTATCAAATCTAATTTACCATATTAAATTTTGCTATTTATCTTTGAAAGAAGTTTATATATATATATATATATATATATTTTTCTTATTTTGTATTTTGGCTTAAAGTTTATTCATATTACCAACAAAAGTCCATTGATTTATTTAATTTAGCTCAAACAAATATATTTTATTCAACTCATTAGATTTTTTTTAAACTTAAACTGATTTAATTTCATATAAATAAATAAATTTTGAACGATAAATAAACTGATCTACTCGTTAATTAATTTTTTCATTAAATTTGACTTGATTAACTTTGAACAATGTTTCGTATATTGACTTTTATAAAATTTAAATATAGTGTATATCACAACATGGTCCATTGTCAATAAATCTTTAAATGATCCTCATTAGGCTATCAAGCAATGTCCATGACCAGCGCCCAGCCATCTCTGTTGCTCTTTGACCTTGTGAAAATCAATGATTTCAAAGAGATAGACTTCGGATTCTGATTATTCTAGAGTCGAGTTAGGTCGAAACTAGAACAAAAATAGAAAAAATGATGCCTTTTTATCACTTGGCAACATAGACGAATGTAAGATTTTATGCTTGAGGAAATAAACTTCTAAAATTTTAGGAGATTATGAATTTATAAATTCTAGATATAAAAATAAATTATCAATAAAAAATATAAAAATATATATTTTAAAAATTTTAAAGAGCAATTGCCTCAACCGTCTCCCTCTAAGTCCATCCCAGCTTGACAGTAGACTTTTGCTGCTCCTGGAGGAAGTCCATATCCTGCTGGTTGGGGCAATGTGGTTAAAACAAAAATGGAAGATTGGCAATGGCCGCTCACATGACTAACTTGTCATGCATGCCTAAACCGATAGAGTGATCTAGTATGGATTAAGCATAGGTGTTTTCAGCTTTAAATTTGACCGACCACAGGACCCCATGAGCAGCAACATTTAGCCAAACTACAAGGACAGCAGAGGAGCAGGTCAAGGACCAGTGGTGGTCCAGCCTCACTCCTAGCCAAGTTGATGAATGATAATGCCCCCCTGTGTTTAGACTCTGTACCAAAGGCAATCCCCTTCCTTGAGCAAAACTCAACCCCCAAGTCTTGCAAAGATGTCAATTTGGGACCACACCAGAAACCCTCACCTAATTTAACCCCCACTACTTGCACACCTTACCCTAAAGTCCAATGGTTCAAAACCACACATTTAATGCACACAAATGATGCAAAGAAACCACTCAAATCCATTCCATCATCAATCATCGACGATACATTGAATTATAATTAAGATACAATGTGACATGGGAAGTTCACTTTCCCATAATAAACTTTACTAAAAACTCAAAGGGCATGCAAAGTGGTGTGCGGGATAATTCATCACAGTTGAGAACCCAAAACTGGTTATGGTGGTGAGTGGAGTGAGACTTGAGACCACTTCTCCACATGCCCTGACCCCATCCATCAACACTTCACCCAATAACCACCCTCATCATGAACGTATTGAATAACAAAACTACTCAAATTTCTAATAACCGTACCAATGAGAGGGAAGGACAAACCGACCCGGCCAAGAAATGGTCAACCTACCACTCGGTCTTACGCATTAAGGCCGTTTCCGGTGTCTCATCACAGCCAATGGTGGAGTCATGATCACGCATGGGACAAGTCACGAACTCTCCCAGGACCTACCAAAACAACTTCTATCTTTCATAATGTAAGGACTATAGGAGTATTCGTACGCCGTCAACAGTTTCCTATCCCTTCCTCTCCATCAAATCAAGCCAAAAGAGTTGCCCTTTTGACTCTCATATTAAATAAACTAAATATACTTAATTAATTAAAATGAGATTAGTGATGAGGCTGATGATGATAATAAGTAACCTAGTACCATGCACAAAAGCTATAATAAATTAACAATAAAAAACGAATTCATTAAATGATTTCAATAATAAATAAAATGTTATTCTCTTTAAATGATTCGGGTACAAACAACTACGTCAGTCTCACTAACACAATACTTTAACATGTTTTGTCATCTTCAGTGACCAAACAAATGTACGACAGTGAATTGGCAACCAAATTTCATGGTAATCCTAATTGATCAATCGATAGACTTTATCCCTCACCTTTAACCTATTCAACGACTCAATCAATATTCTATTCTGTCATTTTTATCTCTCAAATTCAGGTCATCTTATTAAAATTTAGGTCTAGATCTCATTTCAAACCATCATATAACGATTCTTCTTCAAAGTCAAGATATATATCAAACACAAATAAAAGAGAGACAGAGAACTATCATGAAAGTTAAGCAGACGAAAACACAAGAAATAATCAAACTCGTTCGAAAAATCACCAAAATAAAACTTCAGTACTATAAAAATGGAAGAAAATATTTAAAATTTACAAAATAAGAAACAGTTACATTCATAAACCCATACAACTATATAAATTACACACTTTGACTGTATATTATCACAATTGACAACGAAAAAGGTTAAATCCTGCCTTAACCCTTGAGGCTCTCTTTGATTCTTTTTAACTCTTTCAAATTTGTAGTTAAAATAAATAATTTAATAAAGAAAGAAGAAGGATAAGAGATAATTTACGGGAGAAAGAGGGCTGGATGATCTTGATCAGTCCACTGAGCTTGACTCCAATATGTCTTATCAACATCGTTAGGAAGATCAAACAACCCTTGATCTCCATCCCCTTGCCAGTCCAACGCTCCAAACCCATTATCCGATCTACTAGCCATATTTGATAGCTCAACCTGCACCGTCTGATCAAGCATCCTCCGGTGATTTCCTCCTCGCACATACTCATCATATTTTGCTCCTCCTTCAGCTGTTGCGGCCACTGTCCATCATTTAATGCCTTGTGGATACTAAACGACATCATTTCATTGTTTGATGATGTAATCAAGCTCGTGAAACTCCCAATTCCTGAAAATATCCCACGGTCCGATCCTTGTTCCAGCAATCCTGGCTCGAACCCCAAATTATGAGGGTTTCGATGAAACTTCGGCTCGCTCACGCTTACAAAGTTCGCACGAGAGGTTACAGCCGACACCGCCTCCGCTGCGCCACCGGCATAATAACTGCTGCCGTTGTTTTTAGTCACCGCAACGTTAGAATTTGTTACAGTGAGACTCGAACTCTCGCTGCTAGAATGAGATTCGCTTTAGCTTGATCGCGGTGTTGTTGTTGCCCCGGGTGCGGCATAGCAGAGGCGGCAGCCGCGGTGGCGTCTGATGAAGCTTTGTTTTTTGTGCGCTTGGCTTTGCGGCAACCACCACCCACGGGGACGTTACGGAGGACGCCACCTTTAGTCCAGTAACGACGGCAGCCCTTGCAGAAATGACGTGGCTGAGAGAGGTTGTAGTTGTTGTAGTAACAGAATTTTGTGTTGAGAGTCGCAACGTGGACACTTGAGGGCTTGGTGGTGGTGCTGTCGTAGCCTTCTATCTCCTCCTCCACCGCCGCTGAATATGCAGCCACCTTCGATCGAGTTGATGTCTTGCATTACTGGCACCAATTTTCGCTCCAACTTTTTTTCAAAGCAGAATATAACAAAATCAAAGTAAAATTTATTGGAAAATCAGAGACAAATCCGTGAAATAATACGAACACAAAGATTCTCAGTGGAATGAAGAGCGCGTGTGTTTGTTTTGAGAAAAGAAATGAAGGTTGTCCAGCAAATGTCGCTTCGCATATCCTTTAGTAATAACGAAATTATATTCCAAGTACCAAATTTCTCTTAAAAACTTATTTATTTATTTGTAATATATTTTTCATTTTACTTCCATAATTTTTAAAATCACAATATTTCGCTCTACTTGTATTATATTTTATTTGTTCACTAAAGTTTTGTTAAAACCACTTATATTTACACGTGTACTCATCCTACAAGCTTTTCAATTGATGCAACATCCTTAATCATTTTATTTTATTACACTAATTTTCTATAACTTTAAATTATATTTTAAAATTTTAAGGTTCATAAAGAATGAAAATTTAAGTTCTTCGGTATTAATGCATGGGATTTGAGATTTGTTTTTTTTTGTTTTTGATCGTTAATAAATTAATTTAGATTGGATATTATAGTGACTTAATACGGGATTATTTTTTCAACTCAATTAATTTCATTCGTAAACATTAAATCTGAATCTTTTACCTTATTTTAAGATATCTAATGCTTCATTCTACTAGACCGATCGGTTGTTGGTGGAACTTGAGATTTTTAATTTGATTTTATGTAGAAATTATATTCAATTTTTAAAAAGTTTTGATATTTGTTTATAAATTTTAAAGTCCTAAAGAAACATATGATAAAATTAATTTTATATTATTTATTAAAGCTGATATCATTAATAAAAACAAAAAACAATAAATTAAATTAAAATGTGAATATCAATTTTAAAAAAATTATTTAAATGCCAATTTTAAAAGATGATCAATTCTGATATCAAATGCATATTTAAGCCAAAATTAAGTTGCACGAACTGTGCGGTTTGTGTAATTGGGGAACTACTAAACTGGGCTTGCGAGAACGGGATGGGAATTGTAGATAGAGTACGTATGATGAGTATATGCGATACTTTTGTACTTCAGGAATTTTAAGAAATGAGATTCTTAGTACGAAGAGTTGCATTAGAAATACATGTATGTACTGTCGAGAGTTAAAAAAATTATAAATATTATTTTATAATTATCTTAAATTATTCTAAGAAAAAAATAAAAAATTATTTTTTAACGTATGTTAATTTTGTGTAGCCCAGAAGATATTATATACACATTTTAATTAAAAATATATTTAAATTTAAGATGTGTAAATATTACTCGGATTTATTCTTCTTGAAATCAGTACAATAAATACGATCTGTGGGGACGAACCCTAATTTCCCATCAATCAAACCCAGCCCATACTCAGTAATCTTTTATCTTCTTTTATATAATGCTAAGAAAACGTCTGTTTAACATTTCAGCATCATCCGTACACTCTTTTGGAACGATACCCTAATCAACGTTCGTTACAACCCAAGACCTCAAAGACTAAGACCGTTTCATAAATTCAATAACTTCAAATTTTTTGAGACAAAATCCAATCAAAATCAAGTTTGAAAGGTCCAATTGGTTGATATAAGAGAAAACACGATCACATGCACATGGGGTAGTGTGGGGGTTAAAGAGTGCTCTTCCGGTACTTGGTCACATCAACCTCTCATTTTCTTTTAATTCAAAGCTTTCAATTAACTTTATTAGTACTTATTATTACATCATGAATGTAATAATAATGGTTCAGACGGGACGAAGACGAAACTAAGATCAAACATTAAGAGAGAAACAATGTAAAATAGAGTCTAAGAAGCAAAATGGGGTTAGGGACATATAAAGAAAAGGACAAGTAAAGCAATGAATTGGCAATACCTATGTTACTTGTACTCATGTCAGGTATCGGTATGTATCGATACATATGAGTACGTTCAAATTTTCTAAGCTCTTTCATACGTATTGAAAGTCGTTGGAGGTCATACTCTTGTACCCATTTCTGAACATGGGTCGAATACGGGTTCGGAGGACGTAAAAGAATGAAGAGTTGGAACATAGGGCAATACCTAATGAAAGCATAGCATTTCTCCATATTGGCTCTACTTGACCACATGGAAAGAGGAAAAGAATAAGGACCAATAGAATGGTAAAGGAACACATTACCTGAGGAGGAAACAATGCGGTACGATCAGAGGAAAGGAACCATGGAACCAACATGTAAATGTTCCGCATACACCTTTCCAGGCTATAAACACGCATCCTTCTTCCAAGATCAAGCACAATATAGTACAGAAAAGAGCTAAAACAACAGCATTGAAACCTATCCATATAAAATTAAACTACAGATGCTAAATGCTCAAAGCTCTAAATAATTAGCAATTAAGACAATTCATAAGCATACTCTAAAGAAGGTCAAGCGGCAAAAACACAGAGATACAGTTTTGAAGTAAAGGTCATGGAAATGTGGCTAGCATTAAACATAGACTTCGTGCCTAAGCTTTGCATGAATTGATGCCAAATAGAACCAGTTTCATACCTCTCCGGTCGTCACTGAACTATATGTAAGCTATGCAGAATCATCCCGAGACTTTTAAATGAGGAAGGCGGCAACATAAGCACAATTATTGAACTGAATTATATGCCTAAATAAGAAGCAAGTTACCATTCGTACACAAACTACATGCACCGTTAACTATAGAAAAGAAGGCTATCAATAAAGCTCTCACTTATGAAAGAGTAAAGCATTGCCATTAAGATTTTCATGTAACTTGCATTCTAATTTAGACCCAAAATTGTCGTTACTTAACAGAAACAAAAGCAACCGTTAAGTTCACATAATGTACATACATAGTTAATATTTGCCAGTGACAAGAAACGCACAAGACATACAAAAGTATGACCCAGTACGGCTTATTTCATTGACAGCCAGGAAAAAACCATGTCAGAAACTTTGAGAGGTTACATACATGTCTTGACACTTTTTTTTCCTGCAGGAAAGAGGTGAAGTACTAAAGAGAAAAGGGCTATCTACAATTTATTCAGAGTTTTTAGGAAGAAACATCGCTTCCTCTTAGTTGTTGTATTGCAGTGTACAATTTCCGTCGATGTCCGACGGCAAATACACCCATCTCCTTGAGATCATCTAGAGTAAGAATAGGTAAGGCTTCCTCATCAACCTCGTGCATCTCGAAAATACCGGCATACCTACCAAAACCCAGGTCCTCCAACCATCTTTTGACACTAGTTACATCGTTACACTTGTGTCCTGTTCTGTCCCATTCGTCACTAGATCTAAGAAGCACATTATCTCCTTGACAACAAGCATCCTTCCAACAATCGTCAGCATTTCCTTGTTGCCAACTATCATAACCGGGTTCATCGCCATTGTATTCACAAGCATCTTTGCTGGTAGCCTGTGCATCATGATCCGATATGTCCTGAAAATCATTAACCAGGTAATGATCCACACAAGCATTTGATTCGATTCCCATAAATTGTTTCTCCTCACCATAATCCTTCTGATCCTCACTACTAAATTCAGGGTTAACTTTAGAACTCTGAGTCCAAGCCCGGCGAAGAAACACGGAATTATTGCCTTCCTGGCTCCACCCTCTCCGCTTCATGACCCTACTCTTCCTGGTTACGGTGCCAAAACTTACAGTAGCCTTCATCATGTCGATTTCATCAGCGGTAACCAAATCAAAACCCAATTTTGACGAATTGGGATTCTTATTTTCTCTGTTCTGCTGCAAATCGGACGATATACGCGGCGAAATCCCGGGGTAGGAATTCAAGAAATCTGAAGACTTCTCTTTAGAAAACTCAACCGTAGTATCAAATATATGTTCATGAGAGTTGGGAAAATCAGGTTTCCATCTTTTTTTAACCAAATTTTCCCTAGTGTTCTGAGAAAACCCACATGCAACAGCAGCAGATGCATCTCCTATCTCTCCCAACCTAACATTAGGCCGCCTTTGTCTTTTGGAATTCATGCTTAAAACCAACATTTTACACCAAAACCTATCAGCACAAAATTAAACCTCAAAATCAGCACACAGGTTAGAACCAAAATTTGCAGGAAACAAGCAAAACTCAAATCAAATATCATCTCAAACAACCATTATTGACCCTAAAATGATGTAAAGAATCATAACGACTACCATAGTTTACAGCAAATTCAGTAAATTAAAAGTGAAGAAGTGAACCTGGTAAGCAAGTAACTATGGCCGAAGAGTCTGAACTTTTTTGCATGTTACCTGGGACAATTGCTGGACTGCTGAAGTAGGCAACTCAAACATATTAAAAAAGGAAAGTGAAAGTGTTGGTTTTGGTTAAAAGAAAAGGATAAAAGATTAAAACCCGGAGCTTTTTTATTGATTTGGTTAAACTTTTGGATTTTCAGACATAGATAGGGACACGAGGACATTCATTAAGGGGAAGTCAAATTAAACAAACAAAGGATAAGGCAGGAAAAGCAAACATCTTTAGATGTTCCATGGACATTGATTTATGGAGTGGTAATTTTGGTACCGCTTACGAGCTTGTCTTTATCTCCTACACGTGGTTGATGTAGCCCCTACATGTCATTAAATATGTGGAGGAGAAAAAAATAGAGAAACTGAAGTTTTGAAAACCATGGAAATGTGTTTTTTTAATACTTTACTTATTCTTACAAAACGGGTTGAGAGAATGAAAATGATTAAAAATTGGTGACTTAAGGAACAATCTAAAGAGGCTGAAGAAGATTCTTGAAAAAACTAGGTTTTGGGACATAAATGAGGTCCAATCCAAAGAACACGAGGAGTAAAGGATAGACATTGGCGTTTACCCCAAGGTTTTGGTGGTCTAGTAGTATGCTAAGCTATCTATGGGTGATTTAACTTCGTAATTAATATAGATTAGTATAAGATAATATATATTTTAAAAATAGTTTTTATTTATTTAATATTAAATATTTACATCTTTAATATTTTATGATACTTAAATTTTAGATTTTAAAAATTAATAATAATTCTATTACTATCCGTATCATTTATTTTGTGCATAATTTAATCACAATTAAATATTAAAATATTATAGTTTCAATATTAAAAAATGTTATTTAAAAAAATAAATTTTAAATAATTATATTTATAATATATTATTCTAAATTAAAATTTTTATTAAATATTATTTTTTAAATACCCTAACTAAAGGTAACTCTTTCTATTTTTTTCATTTAAAGGAATAACCATATGAATGTGGCAATGTGCCATGCAATTTCTTTCTTTTTTTTCTCTCTATCTCTCACTTTTTTCTAAAAGATCTTTTGAAGGTCACATAATTATAGTATAACAATGAAATAAATATAGAGACATTATGCATAATTTTAATCAAATCCATAATAAATAGATATATGTATCATCTCGAAATTTCAAACTATTTTTTTAAAATTATACTATCTAAAAATTCTTTAAAAATTAAACATATAAATTTAATATACAAAGCTTTATATATCAATATTTAATTAAAAACTATGAATTTAATTTATTTATAAAATAAGTATGAAAAATATCAAAAATTATAAATTTAAGAACTAAATAATTGTCATGGCAAACGTGGATACCTCAACCACGGCCTTGGCATATCAATTTCTGCACTTCCTTCTGAATTTCTAACAATCCCAACCAAAAATTCTATGGAAGGAGAAAAATGAAGAGAATTTGAGATTTAGCATTGGTCTTGGGCCGAAATGGATTTCTGGAACAAGGCTCGCTGCTTCGCTGAGGAAGCAGCGAAACGCTCCTCGGAGATAACAAAGGAAGCCGCTCGCCGCTCGTCGGAGCTTTCTATAGGCCCCGCGAAGCTCGGAGATGTAGTAACGGAGGCTATGAAACGCTCGAAGGAGATCGCGGCTGAGGCGTCCAAACGGGCCGAAGAAATCAGAGCCGAAGCCGCGAAGCAAGCCGAAATCATCAAGAAGTCGCTCGCCGAGGGGGTAGCGCCGCCAGAAAACCCGGAGGGGATGGTGGAAAGAGACAAGGAATTGGAGAGGTTTGGGATTACTGAAGAGTTTAGGGATTTTGTTAAGGGCATTACTATGAGCACCTTTCAAGATTTTCCTTTACCTGGTAAATGAATATGCTTTGTTAAGCTTTGTTTGAATGCTGAGAAAATGTAGGTAGTGGAAAACTGGAAAACGAAATTGGAAAGTTTAAAAAGTCAATGCTCTCTGATTGCTTCCTCTGAAAATTTAGGAACTGAGAAAGAAATTTTAACTTTTCATTATATCATATGCAATGGCACCATCTTCAGGCTTAATTCCAATGTTGTATCTTTGGAATAGGTAGTTCAAACAGAGTTTTGAAATTGGAAAAAAGAAAAAAAATTGGACCTTTTTCTTTAATCTGCTGATAACCTTGAGTTGATTTCATGAACATTTTCTATTCGCAGATGATTCCCCAATGTCTGATGTTCCCACAGTCTCAAATGTAAGGCAGGATCTTACAGAATGGCAAGAAAAACATGCCAAGCTTGTACTTTCAGCAGTTAAGGTAAATACATGTTTATGACATCCTTAATTCCTAAGACATTTTTAATCCTTTTTGAATAAACCAGTTGTCCTATTCCTATTGTAAGTATGTAAATTCATTTTAAGGTTTTAAGATCGTAAATTATAATCCGAATGATTAAAATATTAACCATATGCATATAACATTGAAAATACTATATTCAAGAACTGCATAAATTGCATATAATTGCACTTCCATTAAGTTTCTTCACTCATTCGTGGTTCTCTATTTAGTTATGTGTGATCCATTGGAACCAGAAAAACTTCTAAAACGCCCCATACTTATTTTCCAAGTAGTATTAGTAATAGAAAAATGGTAGTTACAAAATTTCTAGAATCGTTGAGAAAAGAATCCACGAGATATTGAAAGATACTTTCCAAGAATAAGAATAAAAAAATTCAATCCTCTTGCATCTAGTTAAAATGCAAATTTCTTCTGTTATTTTCTTCAGTGATCCATCTTTGTTGGGATTAAAACATTATGCGATGCTCTCTTTTTACATTGATTTTTAACAGAATTTCTATTCTGAAGCCTTTATGGGCAAAATGACCAGTCTAATGTGTGTGTATTTCGTTTAAACTATGAAGTTAAACTTTGTACTGTTAGCTTGGTAAGCATAATCATACATGCATGAGCATATTCGTATAAAATGATTGTTGCAGTAACTAGGTCTAGGATTTCTTAAGAATATGTTTTTATTGCTTTCACGTTATATTCCAGGAAATATCAAAGTTAAGATTCGAGTTGTGCCCGCGTGTTATGAGAGAGAGGAAATTCTGGAGGATATACTTTATACTGGTAAACAGTCATGTTGCATCGTAAGTAATCCGTCTTTGCATGTTAAGCCTCCCTTTTGTCTTTTATTGAATTTAAACTATTCCGTCTCAAGTTCGTTTAAGATTAACTTTTCCCAAAATATAGGTAGTTCAGATTATGATTGCTTCCGTGCAATTTTCTTTTAGTTGATGTATTTTAAAAATTCAGAAAATTTTTAACCCAAAGAAAAAGTTACACATTATGATTCCAGCAAAGAATAGTTTCGCCTTTGGAATGCAGTTATTTAATTGTACTATTGATTTCTTTCAATTGACTTGAAATTCATCAGAACACATGTGATTGTACATGTCATCTGGATGTGAATGTACATTTTTGAGATTTTGTTACGTTGATGTGCATTTGTTTATGTTTTAGTCAACATTATTTTGTCACAGTAAACTCTACTAACATATGCTTCCATATAGGTATGAGAAGCAGTATATGGAAGAGGTTGAACGAAACACGGCAGAAAAAGTCCTGGATAAAAAAGTGAAGGAATCTTCAAACATTGAAATGACATCTCAACCACAGGCAAAGGGATCCAAACTGCATAATGAAACTTCAATCACATTTACGGAGCAAGACCTGGATGCATTTCTTTTGGGTGGTGACAGTGATGAAGATGACGAAGGCCCTGGTACGAATAGTACTTTCTTTGTTCATTTTTCCCCTTGAAACATTAAGTTGGTTTGCCAATTGTCTTAATTCACTTGAAATAGATTATGTTTTCCTGTATTAGAGTCTGCGTCACCGTTTTTACTGCCAAGATTGCTGATATACCTATAAATCGCTGCAAATGAATAGCAACACTAACTTCATCTTTTTGTTTTTACATGGCTTGCTTTTCATAAAATGTGCTAATAATCTGTTTGGCACTTCAGAGGATGGAGATGAGGGCTTCGATGATGATTTTGGTAAAATGTCTGACAGTTTGGTAAGCACAGTTCCGCTTATGAACTTGATCTTTTTGTTTCATATCTCTGGGTGGATTGGACTCGCTAAAAGTGAAAATTAGTCGGTATAAGTAACTTAATATCCAACGCAATGTAATGTGGTTTCTGCATTCTCATAGCTTCTCGGTTTTATGGCTTTACCCGTTTTCACTTTAAACAGAATCATTTTACCATTTGAAAGTGAAAAGTAAACAGGAAAAAGAGGTATTCGGGCTTCTTATATTAATATGACCAGGATTTATGATTATGCAGTTGATGGTTTAGGAGTGTAATCTTGGATGTATAGTGCAGTACATATTTGGCTTCCTTGCTTTACTGTTTTGTTTGAACTAATTCCAACTTTGATGTGTCGATACGCTTGAAGCTCCCACTATCTGTTGATATGAGTTTCGCAATCTTTCAAATGAATGCTTGTAATGGTTTGTGCATGTACATATTTGTCTTCCTTGCATTACAGTTTCGTGTAAACCAATTCCGATTTTGACATGTCAACATGCTCCTCCTACTTACCCTCATCATGCAGGATGGTGAGAAGGTCAAATCACAGAAGATCTGAAACCGGTCTCAATATGGTGAATCATTGCCATTAGATCTGGAAGATGTCTGGATGTTGCTGATTATAACATTTTCTGTAGAATAAAGGGGCTGGCAGGTGATTCATATAACACAGGAAACCATTGGTGTTTCTTTTTGCGCATTCTCGTCTACGAAAGCGGTCAAGACATGGTCAATCGTGCATCCGGGTTATGTTTGTCTTATAGTTTATATTTATAATCATTTTTATAAAGTTATTAATAATTCATGTCATATAGATTTTGACGCATACATTTGTGTATTCTTGTTATTTTCGTGTATTTTTAATATTATAATTGTATTTAATTTTGTTTGGTAAAATTAGGAAAATATTGTATTTAGAAGTGAAATAGGGTTGGTCGGGGGATTATTTAGGGATTTGAAGTTGTTCTTACCGTGTTCTCGCCAAAATACCTTCATCTTTTTCAGTTTCTTTTCTTATTAAATAAATCTCCCTACAAATTAATTGATTATTCCAAAGTTAATAAATACTACTCTTATAACTATGATAGTGTCAACTATTAGAGCATATAAATTGCATGAACTTATTCAATCATGGTAAAAATTTAAAGAGTTTAGATTTAAGCAACTATATTCGTATAATATGTATAAATTTAGTTGCATGAAATCAAAGTAAAGTTATATGATGGAGTGAGGATGATATTTTTAATTTGGTGAAGGTTACTGTTCAATTTAAATTTTACGATAGGAAGATGAATAGAATAAGACATGCTGATACTAATCTTTGAATAGTTTGAGGCCTTTTAGACTGAGTATTACATTCTCCCGATACTCTTATATTTTTATAGCAGTTTGCTGTTTTCTTTAGATATAAAACACAATTTATTCAAACAAAAAACCAACTGTAATAGAATTAACATTAGAGGACCATAAATCAAATATCAAATTTATAAATAATTAGAAGTAAACATCTCAAGTACAACCAAACTAATATAAATATAGACTTGACCTAAAATAAATTTATCATTACATCATAAAATAATTAATTGAAATAAATATCTTCTGTTTAAATAAATGAAAGTGACTCCAAATAATATTATATTTTAAAATTATATAAAAATTTATATTTAAAATTTAAAAAACTTAGTAGACCTAAACAATTTGAAGGGAGCCGAATCGGACCGGACCGTTTATGATTAGGCAGCCAAGGCATTATTTTATGTTTTTAATATAAAAAATATTCTATTCTCTCTCGTTGATAGAGCTTACCTTTGAAGGCAGGCACGGGTTTCAACGGCCACTGCTTGATAATTCCTCGTTGGGAAACTGATTACATCGGTTAAAGATGGTTTCCAAAATCTATTTGTTTATTTTTCAGATCGTTGTTGATTCATTTGTGATAGGGAGGAATCGGATCTCTTTGATTGATTTTTTTCCGGATTCGTTTGGTTCTTTCGAGGTGGTTAATTGGATGCGGATTTTCTGAGAATCAACCTACATTGATCGATTTCGGGTGGGAGATGTGGAGGAGGGTGGAGATTGAGGTTATTGCTGGAAATGTGCAGTGTTGAAGGGAAAGGGAGGAAGGCAGGGACGAGAATGGGAGTAATGAAAGGCGGCGGTGGCGGAGGGGAGAGAGTGGAGAAGCTCAAGAGCTCGAGAATGAAGCTGTGGATGATACGCGCCACCACATCGGTGTTGCATTGGACTTGCATCGTACAATTAACGGCCGTAGGGGAGATGTGGGGACAGCGCGTCCTTAAAGGCTGGCCTTCCTGTTTCACTCACCAGGATTCATCCTTCTCCGTCATTGAAGACGCAGTCCCCTCCGTTCCTGCTCGTGTACTTCCTCCCAAAAGTAAGTTTCTCTGTTCTTAATATTTCTTTCTTTGTTTTCAAAAAAATAAAAATCTAGTTTTGGAAAGTGGAAACTAGGGAAACCGGTTAATTTTCTCTAATTCTTAATTCTGGAGACGAAAGCAATAAAAAAATGTAAGATTTTCGTGGGAATTTCGCTCGAGTGCATTTCATTCGATATACGCGGATTGGATTTATATAAATTTGATGCTCCCAAGTGATCATACATCGTATCGTATGTCTCAGTTTTATTCAATCTTTTCCGTCGTCTTCTCGAGGATCTTTTGTTTCTAGTTTTTCAATTAAAGTTTTAGGATTCGTTGGTATTCTTTTGCGTTTATATTCTTTTGGTTATGGAATTTGGATTCGAATTGACATGATTTTTTTTGACATTAGGAATATATAAAAACAATGGTTACTTAATTGTTTCATGTAATGGAGGTCTCAATCAAATGCGAGCAGCAGTGAGTGCTCTATCAAATCGCACTATATATATTCTTTGAAATTCTTTCTAGATTATAGAAGTTCACGAGTTGTTTGTTGTATAATCCATGTGGAAACTGATGCCGTATTCTTCTATATTGGGGTTTGCTTGACAGATTTGTGATATGGTTACCATTGCAAGATATTTGAATGTCACTCTTATAGTTCCGGAGCTGGATAAAACGTCCTTCTGGGCTGATCTCAGGTTTGCTAACTAAGCTTTGCTCACATTCATAAATATGGAAAGTGGTCTAAAATATATTCCTGGTGAACATGGATTATTTTTTCTTACATATCTCTAAATATACTTTATATTGAAATGGCAGTGAATTTCAAGATATATTTGATGTGCGTCATTTTATTACATTATTGAGAGATGAGGTTCGTATATTGAAGGAGCTGCCTCCTAGGCTTAAGAGGAGAGTCCAAATGGCGATGGTGTATTCCATGCCACCAATTAGCTGGTCTGATATATCCTACTACCGTAACCAGGTCATTCACTGTCATTACAAAGTCTTATATGCACCCAGATCATTTTAGACTTCAATTTAATGTAGCTTGTTTCTTTATTCCCTTTTCTAAGAATGTAATACACTTTCCCAGTTCTTTTCCTTCCTCCAAGAGTCCTCTTAAAGGAGTATGTTTGTTCTCTATTACATGCAGATTCTTCCTATGATACAGAAGTATAAAGTTGTACATTTGAATAGAACTGATACTAGAATTGCCAACAATGGACAGCCTTTAGATGTTCAGAAGCTGCCATGTCGTGTAAATTTTAGTGCTTTGAGATTTACTACTCAGATAGAGGACTTAGGCAAAAGAGTTATTAAGCTTCTGAGGCAAAACGACCCTTTTATAGTACTTCATCTTAGATATGAAATGGACATGTTGGCATTTTCGGGTTTTACCCAAGGTTGCAACAATGAGGAGGTGGAGGAGTTGACAAGAAGGTGAGGTTTACATGCATCTTTAACAATTAAATGACTAGCAGGCCTAAACTTTAGGTTTAATCCCAGTCTCCAAAACTTATTTTGGCAGATATGCTTATCCCTGGTGGAAGAAAAATAATAAATTCTGACTTGAAAAGGAAAGATGGTTTGTGCCCTTTGACGCCTGAGGAAACTGCCCTCATATTAAGGGCTCTGGAAATTGATAATAGTTATCCCAGATTGGTAGGTTGAAGATCAGGGAATGAAATGTAATAATCTTTGAATTCTTTTATCCTGTATCAGTAATTGGCCTTTTGTTTGTTAAAACAGGTTAGAAAGGAGACCCTATTGGAGCCATCAGACCTTGGGTTTTTTCAAAATCATTCGTCCCAGATGGCGGTCTTAGATTATCTTGCGTCATTGGAGAGTGATATTTTTTTCCTACTTACGATGGAAACATGGCTAAAGTTGTTGAAGGCCATCGCAGGTACTGTTGTACAGATAATTTTGCACTTAATATGTTCAGAAGATTTCTTGTATAATTAAAATAATCCGGTGGTTCTTTTTTTCTTTAGATGAGATGAATAGTTTAGAAAGTTGAACTCTACCCACGTTCTATCATCCCCATTTTTATCTCTACCATTAAGAGGACAATTGTTTGTCTAGTTCTGACCACTAAACAATTCGAATTTCAATGGTTGCAACATGGGCCAAGGAATGTTACAACTACTCTATTTCGTAAATGCTTTTCATAATGTTTCTTGCCAAGCGATTTTCTAGCGGATTTTATCATTTTTCATTGTTAAAGCTATTTGGCATGAATGTAACAATTGTTTTTTTTAAAATGCTCATTCAGATTTCTGGGGTATAAGCAAACAATTTTATTGGACAGAAGTCTTTTGGTTGATCTGATAGATCAGTACAATAGTGGATCCCTAAGTTGGAATGAGTTCTCAAATGCTGTGAAAGAATCTCATGCAAGTCACATGGGCCAACCAACACGAAGATTGGTGATTCCCGACAGACCTAAAGAAGAGGATTACTTCTATGCAAACCCAGAAGAATGCTTGCAACCTTCACACAGTCAACTGAGTAGCACATGATCTTTTTGTCTGGAAAACGTTATGATTATCAGTGCTTTTCTCTAGCCTGCTTGGGCATCATACTTAAAACCTAAAGGTAGTTTCTCTATACAAGTATGACTACAATGAAGGTTTTTCTTCCTAGGATTCAGTTCCGTAGATCATTGGAGACGGTAGAATCTGAAGAAAGCCTGAGAGGGTCTGAAGTAACCGGTGGACACAAATTTTAATAAATGCAAATAAGAATCATGTATGGAAGAGCTGCCTTGCGATTATAGGTTAATATCAGATCAAAACGTGTTGTACACGAGGGATGCAAGTATAAATTTGGGATTATCGAGGCTGATTGGAAGGTTAATCCCTTACCCTTTTGCTTGCATTTTTTTAGATTGCTTTACGATCTAGTTTGTATTCTAGAATTCATCATGTCACAACCTACAGAGACATATTTGTATTTGTTTCTAGCATGGCCTCATCAATGCAAGGAATGGTTGAGAGCATTGAATAACAACTTCACTACACTTATCGTGTTAATTAAATGGCCGGCACTCGACATTTCGTGTTGAGTAACTTATGGTTTGGGAAAAGTATGGTCCCCTTTCATATGAATTTAGGCCATTTGTCAATTCTGGTTTGTCCATTACTGATGTTGTTGGACTTAGTCTTTGTGTATTAGGACAGTCAAAATCTCACATTAGAAAGTGACACCCTAACCAATCAAGCCAACTTAAACATGCCCCTTTGCATTATTGGGGGAGTTTTGGCTCTTTCCATTTACTATGATACTTATGTATTAAACGTGTTGTGTGCAAGGATAGAAAAAGGGTATGGATGATCTTTTGGAAATTTTAAATTCTCATATAGTTTAAAATTTCTATTTATAATCTAATTTCATGTCCCTGAATTTTTTGAATTTCGCACTCCCAATCTTTCTAATATAGCTTCTTTAGTTCGCACCCTGGACATAAATTTTTACATCCGTTCCTAGTATAGTTTGTACCCGAGACATGAATTTTTACGTCCGTCCCTAGGTGTGTAGGTGTGTGACTTATTGGTTGAAAATGTAAACATAAACATTTGTAGGAGTGATTGCACACTGCAACTTCCTTGTTTCCCCTTTTATATTTTTTGGTGATACAGTGGATGTTTTGTTCCCCCATGTTTGTGTAGGGCTCAGCTGCCTCAATACTTCTGGTGTGGTCCCTTAGAACTTGTGTTTTAGTTTTGGGAGGAGATTATATAATAATGAGAGACCAATTTTGTTTCATAAGGTTTAGCTTTTTTAGTATTGTAAATTAATAGAATTGGTTCAATGCATTAAAAATATGCTTTTCCCAAGCAAGAATTATAAAAGATCGTTTCCATGGGTGCTTGGGTTTAACTCGTTGAACAATTTATAAAATTATATATAAACGACAGCTCTACTATATATCTTGCTTTGGATTTATTCGAAATTTATAATTATATTGATAAATTCAACGATTGGATTGATAAAATACTAATCGTAGAAAACTACTAAATGTGTGAAATTTACTTCGTCTTATATGAAAATAAGATCATACAAAGAAAGATTCAAAATGAAAAAAGTAATTAAGATCATACAAAAGGAAGACTCAAAAAGGAAAACTAATTGTATAAACGAGGGTGATGAAGGATAAACTTATTAATTCTAACATGACAATAAAATACAACGATACAATGACAAATGATTTTATCACAACTCAATCATCATATGTAAGTTAATTGCGAACATCTATTAATATGAAAGAACCAACCCGAGAGCTAAATTAATACTGCTTTCATACCGCTTAAAGGTTTTCTGTTTCCTTGAACAAATTAGCAACTCGAGTATGAAAGGCTTGCACTGCCATGGTCAAAAATCTGAAAGGACTTGTACTGCAGGCGACCCATCTAGGATGAGAAGAACTGCAAATGAGCAGCTTCCGACCATGACGACCTTCGGTGAAGTTTGCTGTCATTGAACGAGGAAGAATGGAATCTCTTCATTGTAAAGTTAAACGAGCTCCTTCGCCCATCTTTTGCCAACCGAAGGTCTCGAAAGACTGGACAGAGACAGAGGCTTGGGACATCATGTCAATTTTGAGTTGGTTAAATGTCCTGTTGGATGTAGATTTTAAGATCTGAAGAATAAAAGATTCTGGTGCCGGGAATATATAGTTTTCTTGTGCAATATATTGTTAAGGAAGAAGAAATAAAACAAGCCATTCTACTTTGCTACTTCATATACATGCTTCCCAACTCAGTGTTCTTTGAAATAATCAGTGTCAATAAATTAGCTTCCAATACCGACTCACATTTGTTATACAGAGAAATAGCCAACAGCCCGATGAGAGCAGAATCGGCTTTTGTGGTAAGACGATAAACAATATATCCCATTTAGATATGCATGTAACATATGTCTAGGTTGTGATGAACTTATGATGATCTAGCCTGACCCTTCTCAACCATAATGGAGCGAACAACATTCTTTACGAAAACATAAAAACTCTCTCGGCAAGAATTTGGCATCAAAGTAGACTTATGTTGCAGTTTAATATCATCGCTATGGCTACATACCAGGCTTGGAAAAGAGCGGACACGGGATTTTGAGTGCTGGAAACCGCATGCTGCCAAGTTTGTATGGGTGGCAAGCCTAGCAATGTATTTGAACGCATCAACTCCTGCAGACACAAAGCATAATACATTTTGCTAAACCAAAAAATGGCCAAGGCATGATAACATGATTTTGTAAGGGCAAAGCAAAATAAAATATCTTTCAGGCAAAGTGTTAAAAACCTTTGGATAATACAGTTTGAAGTTAGTGATTATACCTAATTGTTTGTCTTTGAATTGCCCGTCCAGCTTAGTTGGTAAGAGCGCAAGGCTCTTAACCTTGTGGTCGTGGGATCGAGTCCCACGGTAGGCAATTCATAATTCTGACTACCGGAGGTCTCCCAAGAAAGCTGCTCTCAACCTGACGTTGGGGGCAACCTACTATCCTACCTCTCTCTTACCCCATTACATATGGGAATAGGGTCAGCTAATTTTTTTGTTTGTCTTTGCTTAGGAGCTTTAAATTAAGTTTAACAAGGGCTTGTATCTCACTTTTGACATCATCATCCTTTTTATCCTTGCTTTTAGAACAACTCCTGTCCAACCCAATTCTCCCCTCCGGTATATCTAATTTATTCACACCCGCCTCCAAGTTGGAATCCAATGGATTTGTAGGTCCTCTTGACACTGAACCAACCAGGCTACTAGAACCAGATCTGCCCTCTGTGTTTATTGAAGATGATGATTCTAGATATTTACTTTGTGTATTTTTAGCCCTGGATCATTTACATGATAGCAACCATTCTGAATTTGAACCTTTGCAGATGACAAAGGTTGAAGAAATCGAGGTGAACGAGAAGAAAGAACATTATCACTCGGTCCAATATTCATAACTATCCTCTTTTGCTTTTCCACATCTATCTGGAGATTTGTGCTTTTCCCTTTCCCTCTCATGATAATGATACTCGTACTGCTTCTGTTTTCCTGTTCTTTCCTCATTCTGGTGCATTTTTGATGTATGAAGACCTGCACTGCTGATTGCCTCTTTCGACGTACTTCCGAGGCAAGGGAGTTTTGTTGAGTTCTGATTAGAACTACTAGTTGTCATACAAGTCATTTTCCATGCCTTATCAATATCATACAAATCTTCCTTGGGCAGAATAGAATTGCCTCGAGAAGTTGGTTGTTGACTTGTTGAAATTGATGATTGTGATTCAATTGATCTGTGATGAAACACTTCAGCAACCTTATCTTTCCCACGGCTTCCAATCCCAGGTTCAGCCACACCATAAGAGAAACTTAATGATTGATCTATTTTGCAGTGAACGCCAGTTTTCATGAAGAACTTGTATCCGGCTATGTACATTGCGACAAAGGCGCAATGTTCTTGCAACTGATTCAGTTGAATTACCCACAGTATTCCTACTAGGACGACTTGCTTCATCTACCCCACTGCTTTCCCTTCCAGGAATTATACCAGGAGGCGAATAATTAGAACATGACGATGCAATATGTCCATTGAGCCCTGGGATATTTAATTCTCGAACCATATAAAAAATCGAAACATCTGTCTCAGATGGCAATTTTACATTACAGTTAGCAGAGAACATTTGATCATCGGTTTCAGTATCATCTTCGGACCTAGAAAGAGCACAATATGACAAAAGTCACCATCAGGTACGGTCGTCCCCCAAGCCAACACAATACATATGGGCGGTAGAATCACAGAGATCGCAAAGCAGTAGAAGACTTTCATCAGTCATGCCATGGCACACACTACATCTAACTTCTGCATAGGGATCACTTGGCCTGGATGTTGCATTTACAGAGAGATGGTAAACCTGAAAAGGTAGCAGAAATTTTTTGAACTCAAATAATATCTATATTGAACCCAAATTAATCTAACTAAAAAAATTATATCAAAATCGGTTCATTCTAAAACCAACCGAAATAGACTAAATTTGTTCGATTCAGTTAATAATTTCTTTTATAAGAATAATCAGTGCGGTTATAGGTTTGAGAAACAAATTCGATTAATTCAATTTTGAATAATTCGATTCAGACATTGACCGAATTAACCGATTGAGCAACTATAGTGTCTGATAATCACCCAAATTCATATGAACTTTATGAGAACATCGATTTTATAGGTAAAATTAGCAGATCAGGCAAAAGCAAACTAAAAGAACAAAGCAATTAACTTCAATAATTATATAAAAGAAGGAAATTTAATAGGGAAACAAGACCTGATCTCGCTGAGGGATGTTAACGAGTCGTCCAGAAGCAAAGACACTTTCCTTAGGCGGTCTAGGAATGGCGGTGAACCTGCGTTTGCACATAGGGCAACGCGACTCCACCTTGGCCCATTCCATGATACAAACGAAGCAGAAGAAATGATCGCAGTTGTTGATTTTGCCCTTGATTGCTCTTCTTCCACCGTTGGATAAGCATATCCCGCATACCTCCGGATCGGAATAATCTTCGTCAAATTGTTGCTGATCTGGTGGATGATTATCACTGGATTCGTCTCGTATGATTGATTTGGATAAGGTTTTGAGGCGTTTATTTGGGGGAACCGATCGTTGAGTCACCCGCCATATTTTTTACCGACTCACCCGCCTGGGTTCCTCGAGTTCGCACATTGATCAAGGAAATCCTACCTGAATTGGGTCGATTGAGTTCCCATTACCCTCCAAAAATTCACTGGGCCACATTCCCCCCTTCAAAGTCCATTAGGCTCCATATCTCCAAACCAATCTATGTCGTAATAGATATAATTTTTTCAAAATAACTTAAAATAATTATAAAATATTATTTATTTAAAAAATTTCTTAATTATTAATAAGGCATGCACAATCTGTAGACAGTTAGTGAAGAATTGAGCAATATAAATTTATCAGTTAACCAAAATAGTTATCGAATTTGATATTTCACACCTCTAATAATGGGACGGAGAGAATACTAACTCGTTGGCATTCAATTGAACTAAAAACAAAGCATTCAGCTCAAAACATTTGGTTGCATTACAAAGTGATGAAATTGATTCAAAACATATTTAATTGTATTTGATACATATACAAATATGTTAGTCCCTATCACAAGTAGTAAAAACGAATCCCGAACCAAAACTGTAAGGTTTCGACCAAGAAACCTCCTCCTTTTCCCACACTCTCTCTCAGTTATGATTAGGCGGGTGAGGTTTTGGGACATGATAATCACCACTAAAAGCTGCAAACCCACCCATTTCGCTCTTCCCATGCCCATGATGACTTCGTTTTCGTCTCAAAATTACTTTCTCTGGTGATAAATGGCCACTTCTTTCAGCAGACTGATCTGTATAAACTGTTACATTTGCACTGTCTTCCCTATCTGGTGTTTGTCGACGTGCACTTGAGTTTCCTACAAGAACCAAGAAGAACACAAGTGCAAGGGTAAAAGCTCTTATGGACGCCATTTTGTTCTGGTTTTTCCAATTAGAGAAGAAGAGGAGTCATATGATGGGGGAAGAAGAAGGTCTTTTATAGAAGGTTTGAATGCAGCATGCAGGTCAAAGCTAGGGTTCCAAGTCCAATGCACACTTTTTCCTTTTTCTTTGATAAAATCCAAGTAAACAGTTTACTTTGGGGGGAAACTCAAAGAATATATAAATCCAAGCAATGCGTTTTTTCTCTTCCTAGCTTTGATAGAAAACATATTGGAAAAGGAAAAAGAATGGCGTGCTTGTCTGCCGCCATGCATGCTACGAGGAGAGAGAGGTTGTTTGGTGGCCAAGCTTTGTCAAACACTAAAATCAAAGGTTCATTCAATTTTTGACTGGTTTGGAACTCTGGTCCCCATATATATATATATATATATAAACAATGAGATATAGGGTGGATGCTAAGCTTCTCTAACGATTTTATTCAGTTAGGGTTACTGTCTATGTACAACCCCAAACAACCTGATATAAATAGGAGTAACCCAAGATTTATTATGTCAAATAATCAAGAACAATAAATTAAATACTAAGATATTTGAACGATTTTATTCAATTAAGATTACTGTCTATTTACAACAGTATATAATTGTAATATAATTTTCATAATACTTTAGTAACACATGTAATATAATTTATTTACTTAATTTTTCGTTATATTTTATAATAACATTATACATTATATATATACATACTCATAATTAAAATTTTAATCTAATGATATATACTATCACCATATCTCATTAACTATAAAATTATTAAATCTATATAAAATCTTTTTCCCTCTATATCATAATCATCTTATATAAAATATTTTTTTAAAACATAGTGTAATACATTCATTACTTGCAAAAAATTTAATTGTTTATTCTATTTTACTAAATTAAATAATCCTAGCTAGGCAGCTATTTCTTAAAATATGTGCAAGTTAAATAGGTGCTGGGAATCACTATTAACCTAGCTGTCTCATGATTAACTGCGATTAATTTTGGATTATTTTATGATCATGGTGGTTAACAAGTGTAGAACACGAGGAAATGCTTATTTTTTTAATGCTATTCGGCTTTTCTTATTAATTTATAAATTATTAATTGTTTATTTTTTATACAGTTTGAAATGTTTTTATTAATTTATTGAGTCAACATAGCCGGTTTCTGAAGAATATAAATGTTTTAATTTGTCTTTTTTTCACTTACACAGGGAATCGAATAACAAGGCGCGGGGATAGTTGGCTATGTCGGGTTTAAAGTTTCTTATTTCATGGTAAAAAAAACTTGGTAAACTATATTGCTGATTTATTTTATTTTTTATCTGTTTTATTTTGATTATTGATTTTGAAAAATAATGTTTTCATCATTTATATTATATTTTGATCATTAGGTTATTAATTTTTATTAGTTCGATGACATGACACGTTAAAAATAGATTAATTCTAAAATTAACCCTTTAAACTTTCAAAACTTTATTTTTTTTCACTTGTTTCACAAAAAACCTAAAATTTGTTTTTCTCCCAGAAATTTCATTATCTTACCCTAGCCTTCATCTTTATTGGCGTCCCCATCGTATTCAACCGTCGTTTGACCTCCTCGTATTTTACCAACATGTCATCACCGCCCCAAGGCCACTTATTGTGCTTGGCGCACCCCAGCTGCCCGTGAACTCCAACCTCCAATCTTTACCCTGGCCCTCTGCTTGCCTTTTACTTGACGAAGAGAATGAAAATATACTTTTGAAAGATTATAGGTTAAATTTAAAAATTAACCCTTTTTAACGTGCCATACTACCGAACTAACAAGAATTAACGACTCAATAACCAAAATATAATGAACTAATAATGTAAGTGACCAAAACATTACTTTTCCAAAACCAATAACTAAAATAAGACAGGCCAACAACAAAAAAGTTTATCAATATAATTTACCTAGAAAACTTATTCGAATAATAAGTTTCTAAATTAATTTTTTGTGTGAGTTAAATATTTAAGTTATTATTTATCCGAACGTGATACTTCAACTATAATTCTATAATTATTTTGGATCCAATTGTTATCTCATTATAAAAAACTTTTAACCCATCGGATGTTCTTGTAGGTGCAATCTTGTTAAGAGTGATTGATAAGAGTGATAACATCTACAAAATACTTTTAAAAAGCATAGCAAAAGAAAAACTACAAAGGGCGTAAATTAAAGAACACGTGAAAAATAATTATGTGGTTCTTTATTGATGTGTTAAATTTATAATTTAATCTAGTTTCCATTTTGGTCCTTGAACCTTAATTTGAGAGAGAGAGAGAGAGATTAAGGATTTATTAGCTAAATTGAGAGTGCATAAGTGTTAATCAACGGATTTATAACCAATTGACATGTTTATTCCAAATTTTAGATCAACCTCTAACCCTTTATTCATATAGGGTTATTTGTCATTAAGGGTTTATTATGAAATATTGAATTATGGTATGAATTATGATAGTGTGATGTTTATATGTTAGAGAATGTATCAGAAATTTACATGGCATTGAATTTTCTGGTCTATCAAGCTTGACGCCATTGTTGCAGCTAATTTACTCTTCCCTGCTTGAACGCAAACGATCATGAATACGAATGTCTGTACCATTTTTCTAGTGATCACACTTTTGATTCTACTCATTGTTACATCGTCGTTTCATGTCGACGCTGAAACCATGGGCTGTCCATCATTTGTGAATGGCCCGAATTCCTGGAGAAACATCCAAGCACATGACTCTACTTTCCATGGGTATGCCGGTGTGAGGCCAATCCTCGTTAATGGGATGTTTGTATGTGGTTTCCACTGCGGCAACGTGGATGATACTTACAATTGCCTATTTCCTGTCTCTATTTTGAATATCAGCTCTGATGATTATTATAGTTTTCCTTCTCCCCAGGTGGTGTGGTCCGCTAATCGGAACAATCCAGTTGAGGAAGAGGCAGTGTTGAAGCTCACTTCTCAAGGCAAACTTATCCTGAGACACGCTAACGACACTCTCGTTTGATCCCTAAGCATGGTAAGCAAATTCATTTCAGGGTTAAACTTGAGTGCAGAGGGGAACCTCGTTCTGTTTGACAAAACCAACCACATGGTTTGGCAATCATTCGATCACCCAACCGATACTTTGGTTGTTGGTCAAAGGTTATGGTTAGGGCAGAAACTAAGGGCCAGTGTATCACCAGATGATCCAAGTGAAGGTTTGTATGCATTTGCTGTCATTGCTGGTGAATTCACGGCTTATATGGATTCGGATCCTTCCCAAATCTATAACAGAAATTATTCCTTGGAACCAAATAATAATTCAGTGTTATTCCAAACCGGAAGATTTGGGAGTTTCTCGGTGGCAGACTCAGCTAGTTTTATACAACTGGGAAGCGATGGCCACTTGAAGGCATATGAGTGGAAAGATTCCATTGGCATGTGGCAGGGGACTGATGTGCTCAACCCTGATCGATGTAGTTATCCATTGGCATGTGGAAATATAGCGTTTGCTTAGAAGAGAGATGCATTTGCGCTGAAAATGCTAGAAGACAAGAAACAAAGTATTTCAGGCCAGTGAATTATACAAACCCAGATCTTGGTTGTTATGCAATTTCACCAATCTCTTGTGACCTTCCTCTTCATCACAGTTTTCTCCAGCTTAGGGGATACTATTCTCAACCTATATATAGCTTTTCATTACCCCAGACAACGACATTACAAGATTGTCAGGAAGCCTGTTTGAACAACTATTCTTGCAAAGCTGCTGTATATAGTAGGGGTTACTGCTCTTTTCTTTCTCAAGTATTCTCCATCAAGAAAAGTGATCATGGTGGTGACAAATTCTCAGAAGCTTTTATAAAGGTGCAGAATTCTGCAATTCCAGAGAGTCCTAATACAAATAATATTTCTTCACCGAATTTCACTCCAAGGAAAAACCAGAATACAATAGTTATCGTGGGATCAATTCTTGGAGCTATCTTTTTTGTGTTTCTAATTTGCATTCTCATTTTTCTAAGATCTAGAAAAGGGTTTCAACAAGATGAGGAGGATGATCTCGACAACGTGTTGGGAACGCCGGTTAGATTTTCTTACGAAGATTTGCAGAACGTCACCAAGAATTTTAGCAACAAGCTTGGTGAAGGCGGATTTGGATCTGTTTTTCATGGAGTCTTACCTTCTGCTTCTGAAGTTGCAGTGAAGAATCTTTCTGGCTTCGGTCCAGTTAACAAGTCCTTCATAGCTGAAGTTCAGACAATTGGAAGCATTCACCATTGATATTTGTTTACTTTGGTTGGATTTTGTGCTGAAAAACTCAATAGGCTTTTAGTTTACGAGTACATGGCCAATGGATCGCTGGATGGTTGGATCTTCAACAAAAACCAGGAAACTGCTCTTGGTTGGCAAATCAGAAAGAAAATCATTTTAGATATAGCGAAAGGACTAGCCTATCTTCATGAAGGTTGCAACCAGAAGATAATTCACTTGGACATCAAACCTCAAAATATCCTCTTAGATGAGAATTTCAATGCCAAAGTTTCAGATTTTGGGTTATCTAAGATACTTGGAAAAGAGCAGAGTCGAGTCATTACGACTATGAGGGGAACCCCTGGTTATATGGCTCCTGAATGGTTAAGCTCAGTCATAACCGAGAAAGTAAATGTCTATAGCTTTGGAATTGTGGTCTTAGAAATTCTGTGCGGGCGACCAAACCTGGATGGATCTCAACAGGAAGAAGAAGATCGGCATTTGCTGGGACTCTTTAGGACAAAGCAAGAAGAAGAGAAACTCATGGATTTAGTCGATAAGTGCAGCGATGATATGCAGTCGAATGAGGCTGAAGTTGTGGAGATGATGAAGGTTGCTGCATGGTGCTTGCAAACTGAATATGCAAGGAGGCCTTCCATGTCTAATCTAGTGAAGCTTTTTGAGGGGTCAGTAGATGTAGAAGGTAGCATGATTGAAGAAATTCTACATGGATTAACACCTGAAGCAATGGAGGCATATTCTTCAACAATTTTACCCTCTATGTTATCCGGGCCAAGGTGATGATCATGGACTTCATGCAGATGGGGTGTAAGCTAAGGAATGTTCCCGAGCTCTAATTACAGTTTATTGTTACAACTGACTGTCATTGGATTTGAATGTTTACCATTTTAACAGTTGGAAATGGTTCTCAAGTAGTGAAATTGTTGTAAAATCAATCGGCAATCTTGAAGCTTGTTTTATGTCAAGTTCCTTGTGTTCATCCCGACAAAAACAAATGCTTGTTGAACTACAAGTAGAATTTGAGATTATAAATCTCTTAGCTCTAATTTCTCATTTTGAAGCCATAAGCCATCACAAACGAGCATTGGCTAAATGGCGTAAGTAGAATTTAGGGTAAACTACAAGTTTAGTATCCCAACTATCATCTTTGTTATGTTTTGGCCACCTAATTATTTTTTTTTAAATCATAACATTACGTTTTACTTTTGTTTAGATCACCCACCATTGAAAAATTAACAGAATTGCTGAGGTGGTATTTTTTTTAATGATGACATGATATTATCTTATAGTGACATGTTGTCATCATAGTTTTTTAAAAATGAGAAAATAACTTCAGTGACCGAAAATGTCTTATAATATACGATTTTAACCAACTTTTTTTGGATTTGCGAAAATGACCAACAAATTCGCAACGCGAACTCCAATTTCGCAACCCAGTTTCCAAATTCGCAACGCGAATATGTAAATCGCAACGCGAATTTGTAATTCGCAACACAGAAGTCAAATTCGCAACACAAGTCAAATTCGCAAAGCGCGTTTATTTTCGCAACGCGAATTTTATTTTCGAATTCGAAACACAATATTTATTTCGCAACACAAATGTAAACATTATAATCGCAAATCATAACCTAAAACCCTAAATCACAACTCAGTCCCATCTCCATCTCTCACTCTCTACGGCGACATCCGTCCCCATCTCCGGCGAAATCCGTCCATCTCCATCTCTCAGAGCCACCCTCACAACCATTCACGGTCAGAAATGGAAAATCAACCACCGAGGGTTAGTTTTTTTAATTATTTTTATTTTGAAATTTTTTTATTATTATTAGATTTTTCATATTTAAATTGATGATAAATTTACTGGTAATTTCAGTAATAGATTAATCATTTCACTTAGATTGCTTAGTAAATTCATTCGGTTGTTGCCAATACTGCTAAACTGTTTAGTCTTTAACCATCTGAAGTTAGTATTTGTCTTTGTTTTGTCTTTTGGTTGAAGTAATGCAATTCATTCAAGTTTCAATTTGCAGAAGACTATTTGAAACTTAAGTTGCGATTTTCATATTCGTGTTGCGATTTTAAGTTTCAGAAACTATTCTTCTCATGCAAATTGAAACTTGAATGAATTGCATTACTTCAACCAAAAAACAAAGACAAATACTAACTTCACAGTGTTGCGAATTTAAGTTTCAAGAATAAACTACTACTCTTTATGTTGTCCTTGAACCTGCACTAAACCTATATTTTATCCTTTTAAATGTTTATATAAGTACTTACTTCTGGAATGTTATCTGATGCATTTTGTGAACTATGATAAAATAATGACTTGGGTGAATACCGTGCAAGTTTGAAACATATTTGGCTTTGTTTTCACTGTTTAATATCATGTCTGTTTATAGTGTATAATTTGTAGTTTTTGGTATATCTAACTTGGTATGTTTATTTTTTTTAGAAATTTTTTTTTGGCTTCATTGACCTTAAGGAATAAATTAAACGTAGCCACTACAATTTCATCGACGCTTACACTTATACAAAGAAAATTGTTTGAGGATACTTGCTTCGGGCCATGGCTGAAAGTACAACATCCGGGTGGAGATGCTATGTTGACCCATTTGTTTCTTCAGACCATGACTAACGATCTACCCGAGAGGACACAACGTGGTGATGAAGAGATATTGTTTCATTTTCCTCCGGCGTATACTTGTTTTGGGTGGGAGGAGTTTTGCTTAATCACCGGTCTACGCTTTGGACACGATGATGTAAGTCGGTACACTAGTCATATCGCCCGCCCATCATGGTTATCTCAGGTTTTTCCTGAGCTGGCAAAGGCGAAGCCGAGTTTACACGTCGATGACTTGAAAAGATTATTTGTTAAAGATGGTTTTACTCGGATGAATGACCTTGATGTTATCCGAGTATGCCATTTATTACTTTTGCATGCCGACTTTTTTGGCAAAGATTCCAGACAACCTATTTCTGAGGACCTAATATTATTGGTAGAGGACCTAAATGCATGGAACCTATTTCCGTGGGGTTTATATCTATGGAAAGCTACCTGGAAAAAGTTGTCGTCTGCCTTTGAGGACCGAAAAAGTTTGCGTGGCCATGGTTCCAAATACACTTTGGCAGGCTTTATTTGGGCATTTAAGGTAAGAATTTCTATATAATGCTTCCAAAATTATAATTAATTATTTAACAATTACTAATATTTATGTATTATATTGTTTGTAGATTTGGATATTTGAGGCTTTTCCCAACATGCAGACATATTCAATCAAAAATTCAAATGATATTCCTAGGGCTATTTCCTAAAGGAGGATCCGCCTATTGGATTGGGAAGAGTTACTACCATATACGACGATGAATGATGTAAGTTAACACAAATATTACCATATATAAACAAGTTATTACTAGTAGACGTTTAACTTTGTTTGAGCTTTTATATTGTTAGGAGGCCAACTATCCATTATAGAGGCTGACACCCATAGAGGCTGAGCTTGCCACTGATTGGTGGCAAGCTAGTAAGCATTTTTTTGATGGCACGGATGATGAGCAACCCCCACTTCGAGAGCCATCACCTCACCCAGAGCAATCACCTGATCGAGCCGATTATACACCTCCACAACGAGAACCATCACCTATTTAATCACATCATCGAGCCTCTTCTCCACCATCACCTCATGATAGGCGACCGACAAAGATGCCACGATATTTATCTCACTGTTCTCCACCTCCACGGGATGAGTTAGGAGAGTTAAGTGATGAGGTCAATGCTTTGCGTGAGGAGGTCTGTACTTTACGTGAAGACAATGGTGCATGGTGTGATGAGGTACGATCCTTACGTGGTGAGGTAGAGGTTTTACGCGATGACAATGGTGCTTTACATGGTGAGGGATCTACTTTACGTGACGAGGTAGTTGCTCTACGTGAGATTATTGCATCGATACAGAATGAGGTTCATATTCTACGCAATGAGGTAAGTTTGTTTAATACTATACTAAAAATGCAAATAACCTTTTTTTGGCATTATTTATTTGTTTATTTACTGATTTATGTTATAATTTATTTTTAGTGGCCCGATAAGGTAGATGCTTTACGTCGGGTTTTTCTTGCACGACGGGGTTCACGCATCAGACGTCGTGCACGTGCCATTACGTCTCCGTTCACCCCAATAGTGCCAAGACTCCGTAAGAAGAAGCCCGATTCATCTGTCATCGTTAAATAGGCCTCTCCTATCGTTCAAGAGGCCCATATCATCTTTCAAGAAGCCCCTCCTACCGTTCAAGAGGCACCTGTCATCGTTCAAGAGGTCTCTCCCACCGTTCGAGAGCCCGATTCACATGAAATAATATGTCGATATATTGATAAACCCCCTCACGTGCCCGACATGATGGATGGGAGTTAGCTTTCGTATGAGTTATCGGTCAGTACCATTCCGATATCTGAAGTGGAGAGTAGAACACTAACGGAGACAATTCTGGATAATACGCTTTGGGCTAAGACCGCAATTGATTTTTATCTATATGAGCGGAGCCAGGGGTGTTACGCTGACATATGCAAACTCGACGATGATATGCATTTGTTTCTTGATCGGTCTTGGTGGGGTGTGTTATTAGGGGTTGAAGACAATGGCTATTTCGACGAGGGGGTAAGTCTTATATTCTTCTTATATTGTATTTTGATTAATTTTTTTTAAATTTATGAAATTCACTAATATATGTATTTTTTTATAAAACAATATATTGATGCATGGGTGTCACGTCTTCTGATAATAAGGAAATTGAAGAAAATAAAAAATACACGATGGACTATTATACCGACGTCTTTTCACGTAGCTCACTTGAAGGATCAGAGAGACACTTCATATGTGTTGGGTAATGGAAAAACTAAACTTTATCCTACGTGGTGGGAGGTCGATAAGGTTAGTATTTATTTTTGAATATTTTAAAGGTGTTCATAAATAAAAATTTGATGTGCACAATTGAATTATTATTTATGATTGCAGGTGT